TATATATATATATATATTATACAAATATAAAACATAATTATCAAACTATAATATATCAAATAATAACGAACTATGAAGGCCGGCCTAAATTTCGAACTGAATATCTCCTTGTATTCGGCAAATTCGTCGATCAAACCAGGGACCTGTACGATAAATAAATCGACGCGCCTGGAAGTACATAACGCTGCCTGTGTGCCTGCATACCCGTGTCCTGCTTCCTCCATCCTACCTTCCTCAGTCCAACACATTCTAGCTCTCAGCTGCGCCGTCGTGGCACTGGCGCTCACGCAAGTACGACAATTCGACCGGAGAAACGCATGTTAATTAACACGATACGGATGAGAGTCCAATTCAACGTTTCATGAGTCGACGAAATATTTGGATCGCTTAAAGGAAACGAAACAAAACAGCACACGGGCATCCATGCACTTTGTAGCGTGCGGATCGTTCGCTCGCATATGATCGAAATACTCGGAAAAATATATAATAGTGAAAGAGAGAGCATGTTTGACTACCTTGAAGGCCCGCAATGTTTCGAAAGCGTCAGTTATTTTGATCTCTCCGCCATTCACTGGCCGACAACAGAGCTTGGCACTTGATGCTGCACGACTTCGTCTTTTTTGTCTATTGTTTTGGTATTCTCACGCGTCGAGTAGTTGCCATGGTGTCCCATTACGTCTCGAACCGGCGAGGATGTACATCCTTGTGCAGTACCCATGTCGGTGTGTTAATGTGTATGTGTGTGTGTGCGTGTGTGTGTTTACAATTTCCGCCAGGCGATTCATATATTTTGTCGGCTTTTGGCACGGTTTATCGGACTCTCATCGGTATCAATTAACATGCGTTTCCTCAATTTTCTCTCGATCGAATCGTCGTTTCTACGCGAGTGCCAGTGCCAGTGTCACGACCGAGTAGCGAGAAGCAGGATGCTGAATCGAGAGGTCGAGACGTCGGAACATGGTCGGTGACATATCGTATATCTCCATGTGTGTGGAAATATTTATTATACGTGATACTCTTCCCATTTTTGGAGGTTTGAAGATATACCGAGTGGTAGAGAAGCAGGAAAATCTAAAGGCCGGTATTCATAATTTGTCATCACGTAATATTGCATTACATATGTATACTTATTTTATATAAGAAATATTAACTCAAATAGAACCAAATAATAGTTCATAATTTTTAATCAGTAATTAATTATACTCTCGATTAAAAGATTCCATAAATTATGAATACTGTTCTTAAAATATAAGTTGCAAATGTTGACTGTTGATTTGTGTGTCCAATAATGCTTCTTGAGTGGCAAGTACCGTCCTAATAGCATTTAATTTTAACGTTTCT